TACTTAGATGTTAAGGCCATCTTCGCAAGCACATTTAATTAATTACACTCATTAGAAAACTGAGCATATTGTAAATAATCTTTTTAAAAAAATAACATATTTTCCCAAAACATATTCATTTATCTATGTAGTATAATACGCACTATTACTTACTAGCAATAGCCAGTGTCAAGTTTTCTCTGTAGTCAGAAATACCTATTCTGTAGGAGAAGTGCCCGGCATCTTCTTCTTGTGTATCGTTAATACAAATAGAAATCCGATCTGACGTTACTTTACAGCTGAACGTTCTATTCATCCACCCATCTGTAATTTGGTAAACGGATTCAGAACTGTAAAGACATATTGCCAATTTATCTCTGAAGATGTATTGAAATCCTGGCTGTGCTACTGTTAATGAAAAAGTGAGGCAAACGTCTTCTCCGGGCTCAGTGTATACAAAATTTCCTGAGCATCCTGTAAAAACAATTAAAAATAATAACAACTGAAGAAAAAAAAAACAATGAAATCAGCCTTATTTAAATAAAGCATAACAAAACAAAATATTTGCCATTGAACGGCTACAGTCTTTCCTCAATGTCACATGTCTTCAAGTGTAAGGCCAAAAGATTTAACGACCCTACTAACAATTTTGATTAAAAATATATAAAAGATGCACACAGGATTATTAGTTCACTTGAAAGCAGACTATTATTAACAAAAAACATCTGTGCCAAACCAACAACATATAAGTTTTCTCACCTTTGGGAGTCATTTTTTTTTAAATGCTTATTATTCATCAATTCATATGTGAATAAACAACTCTTTTGCAGAAAATAATTTTTGTGTAGAAGGATATGGAGAAAACGAATAGTATTTAATATCATAGTCTATAAAACAATTTAAAAAAAACAGGGGCAAAGCAAACACGGACATCCGAAATATCAGAGGTGGGATCAAGTGCCATGGAGGAGTGAGCATCCACTGCTGACCATGTCACACCAGCCGTGTGATTCTTGTCATGATCGCGAAATATTCAGTGTATAAATAATAGACTAAAAAGTAGTATGAAAAACGTCAGTCAGTATGTCCAATTTACACAAACTAGGTTGGACTCTTGATGTTTTAGAATTACTTGTACATTAGTTGTCATATAGTAACGCAACCTTGCAAACCCATTATTTACACCATGAATATATTACAAATATCAGTATTATAATCCTCAGTTTGATCAAGATATTTTATTTCATTCACAAATACATAAGCTGGTCAAAGGGTTTACTGAGTCAAAAATTTTAATCAGAAGGTTTTTAGCTGTTTTTAACTTACCAACGAATATAAACGAGAAAAACACTATTTCCAACATTCTGGGCATGTCATTGCTTAACAGTCTTCCCTGATCTATATAAACAAAATGTAAATAATTATTAATATAGCAAAAATAAGTCTCCTTGGACATGTAATGTCAATTCAGATTTTTAATATTATAAACGTTTAACATGTATTTAATAAAAGAAAACTAAACTTAAAAAGGAAAGTCACTGGCTTTGAATCTCATTTTAGCATATATTTATATTAAAGTAAAAGAAAAATTCATTGAAAGAATTTTCACCGAAAGGGACTAAGACACAGACTTGACATTTTTCAATTCGCGTTCAGTTATATTTGCAGAGTTAGCAAATCAAACTTAAACAAACAAACAACGACACAAGAAAAATAAAAACATAGATAAATAAAAGCATACATGCCAATTTTCACAAATATTGATGCTTTATAACAGGTTTTAATTATGCCGTTGTAATTGTGTTTTAAGAATTTTTCCCAAGTTAAAAAAAGTGAACTGCAGATATTTTAATGGAAATTTAAAATGGACAATAAAACGGTTATGCAAGTGTACCCATGCTCCAAACATAATTGGATGTCTTATTTACATTTTCCACAAACAACATGAGTAGTAAAAAGTAATCTTATTGTATTTTCCTTCGTAAATGTACTTTACATTAGGTCAGCTAGAAGAGTATCCTTGTAATAATTAATAACAATTTAAGGGAGAACTGATCGAATTTTTTTCTTCTTGGATGCCGTGAACTAGTATATCTGCTTAACAACGAATTATTAGTATATCAGTTTAACAACAAATTATTAGTATTTCAGTTAAACAACGAATTTGGCATAGGTAAGCAAAGACAGATGAATGATAATACAATCCTGTTCTATTTTTGAAATAATTTCCAGTTATTTGGAAAATGCAATCTGTTGAAATATTATCTTTGTGTTCTTGAAGGTAAAAGAGCAAATTTCAAAGCAAAATTGTTTTTGGCTTTTAGAATATCATGCAATGAAGGATACGGAGATAACTGTAATGTATGTATCAATGTATCACTACAATACATTTCATTTCCCCTCAAAAACATAGCATGCGCTCGGAAAAAAAAACAAAAAAGGTTTTCAATGATATAGTCTTCATGATTTCATTTAACTATGTTTTTTTAATTACAATGCATGTGGGTAAAATTTTTACCCAATTTCTGATTGTTTTAGAAAACATTATTGAATATGGCTCTTCGTATACCGGAATATGGCGGACCTATGATTTCCTAGACTTATTCCTTCTTTCAGAATTTTTTTTTAACTTTGGAAATGAAACAAGTCAAAGGATGAAAAATCTGGCGAATGTTGTTAGTGTAATAAAACATTAACTATCTGTTATCCCCAAAACTTCTTTACTCTTTTTGGCGTGTGGGTATGGATGCTTTTTAATGTATGCAGTTAATTCCTGATTCTGGTTCCATCTCCTCATAAATTTATTGATTTTCTGCAAAAACTTGCTTTCTATACTTCTTAATAAATTGAAATGCATCCCCAAATAAGAATTTGAACAACAAAACCACTAATTATTACAAAATGGCATTTTGCTTTTGCAATTTTTTACTCTTCTCAAACCTTGGCTGTTTTTGTCAAGTGTGTCCTATTGTACTAATTATTACAAAATGGCATATAAAACTGTTTTTGTGCTTTTGGAATTCTTTACTCTTCTCAGACCTTGGCTGTTTTTGTCAAGTGCGTCTTATTGTAAATCGACTTTGATATTGAATACCGTTCGTTTTCTTAATATCCTTCATTTTGTGTATTTAATGCAATAGATTCAAGTTTCATTATCTGTTCGAATTTTAGACAAACGTGGATAACTGATAGTTTTGATTTTTTTTTTTTAAATAATTGTTTAGATATTCTTTACATACTATCGTTTTCACTAATTTTTAAAATCATAATTTGACCATTGAGTGCGAAACTTTTTTACTGTCAAATATCTCTTTGAAACATTGTAAACTACCCCAAAAAGGATGCCAATCAATTTTTCTAGGTGTCTTTATTTGTTGAAGTTTGGCAAACAACACATTGGTTGCTGTCTTTGTTGTCAAGGACGTTACCCATTTTTGAAGCCCATTATATCAGTTTTGTTCCTTTGGAATTCACCTGCTCATATGTCTATAAGATAGACATTGATTGCAAATAAATTTCACATATTTTAGTGAATATTTCTTTTGAATTCTTTAAGAGATTTACATCAACTTTAATGAAGAGTTTATTTCCAATTTATTTTACTGAATCTTTCCCAATCATTTTAAATGTAATGTCTCAAATAGCCCTTGTTTTCCAGCTTCTCACAATGAAACTATGATATAATAAGTGGTCACATAATCTGTAATCACTCAATCAAATATTCAGTTATGAGAGGAAGTCATATAATGTCATGTAATTTCTAACGTGTTTGTCATAGAGCTTAGGACATTTTTTACTGAACAGCCCTAGTACATATAACTGATTTGTTTACGAATGTCATGCGTGTTGTTAAAGAAAGGAACAAAAATCCGTGACCTATTAATTCTCTTATGTGCTAAATGAAAAGCATTGAGATCGTTTAGAATTCGGGACTTTAAATTTTATACAAGTTATCGAAGTCTATTTATGAATAATACCGAATGTGTCATAAGACATCGCGTACTAGTTCATAGAAACTGATATCCTTCAGACGTATTGCTCTTTCTACATAGAGTATTTTCTCGCATTAGATACTTAACAAAAGACTAGAGAAAATGAAATAAGTTACTTACCTAGTATCATCCATGAGATCCATCCATTGAGAGTGACATATAATGTCACTTTGATTCATCTTGCATTGTTTATGAGACGACTAGAAATATTTCTACTTATAATTGTCGATAAACAAAAAAAAACCACACAGCTACGAAGTTAGGTTTTTCAAGCAAAAAAAGAGAAAAAAACTTCCGTGTTCCAGATAATATTCTGTACTTATTTGTATATTAACGAAAGATTTAACGGGATAGGAAGTTATTGTAGAAATACATGCATGGCGAGTTCAGTATCACATGACAAAATAATTATGAATCGCCCAAAGTTATCTCTCTTATCAGAAGCCAATATTCCTGAATAGAAAATCTATCCAAAAAGTAAAATACAACCAAATAAATTTTTTAAAATGAATAATTTCACCTTTCTTAAAGGTGATTATTACACCTTTCTAAATGGCGTTTTTACGCTTTTTGAATAACGATTATATTGCTTTTAACAGGTCCGTGTTTGTGATAGTTCCCCACCCCACTCAACTGTCCAGATTCCAAACTTTATTTAAATGCAAGAACTTTCCAGAGTTTTACAAAACTCCAAAAAAATGTTCAAGAAACAAGCAAATAATAGATGAATTATAATATTTAAACTATAGCAAGACTGTTTTCCCAAAAAGTTTGTGGAGGGATGTTTCCCCATTCGCCTTCAAACTACCGACCTGTTTGAAAAGGAAAAAAAAAAGACGTCATTCTTTTCAAACAAAACAATCTTTTTTATTCAATTCTCTATATTCCTGTATATCTCACGCACAACTGTTTTCGTTTAAGAGAAGTCAACACTCTACTTGTAAAAATCTAGGATATATATTGATACAACTTGGGGTTTTGCTTGCCATGTATTAAAATTCATCTCATTTGAAAATATTTTTCTCTCCTCTTGGATAAAATACACAGACAAACTATTTCCATGCGTATAATGAGCAATAGAAATCACTTACTCTTGGTAGAGGTGTGGTTGGCATTAGAGAAGGCCTTATATTAGTTGGTTCAACATTTAAAAAACGAATTTATTATGCATTTAACAATCTTTTTTCCTGGAAATCTAATTACTATCTAAGGAAGAAATTCTTCAAAATTATATGTCACTTTTAAATAATTTTAATATTTAACAGAACCAAACTGAATTTGAACAACCCTATATATATTGGATTCCGAAACTTAAAACAAACAATCCTTACAAAGATACATTGCGGATTCGAATAAATATTCTACCAAGCCTCTTTCGTTACTCCTAACTAAGATATTGACAGTTGTGAAGGAAAAACTTCAAGAGAACTGTGCAACAATATATTCAAGAAGTGATTTGAATCAGATGTGGATACTCAAAAATTCCAAAGAACTTTTGGACAATCTGAAATCAAAAGACTTTACAAAAATCAACACCTAATTAATAAAAACTTACGACTTTTCAACTTTATACACAACCATTCCCCCACGATAAATCAAAGCCCAGGCTTTTTGATATCATTGACAGCTGCTTTTTCAATAAAAATGGAACTCGTGAATTTACTTACCTGGGCATTCGTCATTTGCAATATTATTTCGTTAAAACACATTCCGATTGCACAACAAGTACTCTGAAGTTGACATTAGAAAAATGCTTGAGTTTCTGATTGACAATATATACCTGGTTTTTGGAGACCAGGTATTCCAACAATCTATTGGAATCCCATGGGTTCCAATTGCGCTCCGTTATTAGCAGACCTATTTTTATATTCAAATTAAGCAGTGTTTGTGATTCATCTTATGCGTGAAAAAAGAAACACTTGCTGTGGCCTTCAAATCGACATTTAGATATATCGACGACGTATTGTCAATTACCAATGGTAATGTCCATTCCTACGTCGATACAATATATCCCGGTGAGCTTGAGATAAAAGATACGGCAAAGTATAACACACCTGTTTCATACTTCGATATTTTACTTGAAAAAGACGTTAATGGTGATCTAACAGCCAAGCTCTATGA